TCGATCGATTTAACAGTTACATTTATATAAAGCAGATTTTCTTATTTTCTTGCATCACACACCACAGGTAAAACAGCATTTTAACACTTTTTTTAAAACTGCTGTGATGCAAGAAAATAAGAAAAAATTATCTGCTTTTTCTCTGTTTAACTAGTCTTAAATTAATCAAATGACATGCGTCTCGTATAATTAAATTTATGGATGTTTAGTCAGGAAAAGACTCAGATTATTCAAGTTTTTTTTTTGACTCAGATTATTCATTCATGACAATGTGCGTTGAAACCATAGACTGTATTTTTTTTTTTTTTTAATTGAATCACTCAAATTCAATACTTTACAGCAGGGCGTGAACACAAAGAAAAAGATATACAAAATTACAATGAAATAAAGAGAAAAGAAAAAATAAATAAATTAATTATGTTTATAAATTAAATTCCAGGAGAGAAGCATTTGTTTTCATTGGATAACTTTAACGGAAGTTTAGAAATGTTGTAGTTACAAAGCAAAAGAAAATGAAGACCTCCAACCTGTGAAAAAATACAATGAGGAATAATGTTCCATATACTAGTTGAAACCAGGTTGAAACCATAGACTGTATAAAAACAGGTTGAAACTAGCGCTGAAGCAATGGAACAAACCATCACGATACACAGAGGGGTGGCATTTCATACGCAAGAGGCCAATGGCCGCTGAATGTGATAATTAAACATACCTTAGCTGAACTATTTTATCCTACATTATATAATTGTCATTTATATATTGTAATGTATTTGCCATTGTACAGTACTATTAATAATCATTATTCATAACCACACTTTAAGTATGCGCACATCTGCACAGTAGGGATTGGCGATACCACTTATTTTGTTTTCGATACGATACCGATATTTTTCAAGGCAGTATCGTCGATATCGATACCGATTCGATACTTCTGAACTAAACTTTTAAATTACGAAATGTATTAAATTATTAAATTACTAAGAGTAAAATGGGTAATGATAAGCACTTAACTTTACGTTTAAAACACATTTTAACATTCAATACGCCTTAATTGTAACTTATTAGGTTATATTTTTGTTTACACATGGTTCAAATATGTTTTTTGTTTACACATGATTCAAATCTACAAATACTACAGTTGAACTATGGTCACTTTAGTAAAACCATGGCTCATTTTCATAAGGGACTGCCAGTGACAGGCTGTTGCATGCATAAAATGCAACCTTTTTATTCTGACAGTGTATGATTTCTATTAACATTACAGAATAGAACATGATCAATATTATCTTTCAACGTTCAATTTAAATAACTGTAATTGCACAAACTATGTAAGCTACAATTTCAGATTGTTTATTGTGAAATAACTCTGTTCTTATGTCCTCTGATAAGCATTGTTCAGGACTGCCGTTCCCAAAAGTTGTTGAGGGAAGGACATCCATTTCTCGTGGCCAAGAGTTTAATGCTAAACATGACCATAGCATGACCATAGCAACCCAGGATTATCAAAAATAGATAAAACATTTTTATTAACATTAAACATTTAATTTAATATTTGTATATTATTATTTGTATTATTATTACATTAACTTATTAGGGCTATATTTTTATATTTATTGTTATATATGCTTATTTCGCCCCAGCAAAAATTCCAGTCAGCAAAATCAAAGCTTTATTGGCATGTCGAGCATTTACAGTAGGCTAATATTTACAAAAGTATTCAGAACGTTGAGTAAAGAGATCGAAATGATGGGAAAAAATGAATATAAACTAATATAAAAATATAACCAATAATAATAGGCTAATAATAATAATATACAAATATTACGGGAAAAAGACGATCAGTTAATGGACTTACAAGACTGTAGGATGGATAAAAATGTTTTCTTGTAGGCCTATTTTATATTATGCTCTTTATGTAACATTTATTCATGATAAACTTCAATTGAATGCTGACTATCGCACGTAATACAGTCCGGTAGCCTATGCCTATGGTTAATATAATAATTTAATAATATCTATAATAAATAATATAATAATTTCTTAATTCAAAATAAAATATTAATGAATCCATCTCTGATTATGCCGGTTGCTATGGTCACGCAGGTTTGTTTACACATTCAACTCGTGGCCACGAGAAAAATATGTGTTCCCTCAACATAGCATCTTGAGGCCACGACATAAGGATGTGTTACCTCGACAAAATGATCTCGTGGCCACAACATAATATCATGTTCCCAAGAGTTAATATGACGTTCCCTCAAATTAATATCTCGTGGCCACGACATATTATCACGTTCCCACGAGTTATTATGTTGTGGCCACGACAAAACTAAGTGAACCGAACATGTCACCTTACGGGCACCGTACTTTTTTGTTCAGAGAACACTAACTTTATACAATACAATGATTAATAAACAAGAAAACGGACATTGGGTTAAAGATACAAAAGAAAATTGAATACATCTTTTAAATATTTGGTCTTTATAGTTTTGTTAATGCAAAGAGACAACGATACTGTCAGTGTCTCTGATTTTGTTCCGCAACACAACAAAGCTCCTTTTTACTAATACATTTACACGTATATTTATATAAAACGTATCCAAAATCATTATAGGATAAATTAAATGAACTGGCTGCCATCCACCATTCTCATTCAGGCTGGACGAGCGCTGACATTCTCGCTGTCCCTTTAAGAGCTTTGCAAGAGATTTGTTTTCAGACTCACAAACCGTCCTTTACTGGTTCAAACCAGTTTTCTGAGTCTGCGCAGTAAGTGTAAACAGGAAGAAGAGTGCAAAATTAAACAGTGTCGATGAACGTTACGTTACATTGACGGGATTTATTTGAAGTCGCGATGCAGGTGTACAGTAAGCTTAAATGTCATTAATTTATGACTAGCGCATGATGTAAGGCGACTCGACAAAAGCTATTAGAGAAAACACCGGGTAATGCTAATTGGCGGTTCTGACATCGTTGAAAGACGGGTCCAGTTCGCTTGCTAGAGAGCGAGCAGACACTCCAGATATAATTTAGTAGTCCAGAAAGCTTTTAGCACTGTAACGTTGCGTGAATGACTGTCGTGTTTGTTACCGACGCAATCTGCAGGTAGTTCATGCAGATAATCCTCATCCGATAGAATTCCGCTCTCTACTGGTGACTCAATGGCCTACTAACCCAGTAACAGTTAGTGAATCGGGTGACGGGTTAGTGTTCTTGCGGAAAAAAAGCTTTGGCTGACGACTAGACCGATATTTCCAACAGAAATTAATAAGTACAATTCAAAATGGTTCAGAAAGACAAAATAATCGAGTCGTCACAGCCAGAAAATGAAGCAAATCCAGTACCAAGCGAGGCTGTTGCGGATACGCAGTGTCCAGTGGACGAGCCCAGTATCGGGGTTGAGAGAACAGGCCGCAGGAAATTCATCACCGGTGTTGTAGAGGGTGAGCAAATTTAGACACATCCAACGTTATGTTATCAAACATAAAAGTAAATTCAGAAGTTAAAATGAGTCCAATTAGTTACATACATTGCTAGAAAACATCATATTTATATATTGCTTAGGTGTTGATTGACTGTAACATCTGTTTGTGAAATATGCTGCGTTTGTCACAACCATTTGTTTTTCTTATTTTGTTCACCACAGGTTTCTATGGACGGCCATGGACTATGGAACAAAGAAAAGAGCTTTTCAGGAGGTATTGTGCAAACGTGCAAATATCCTGTCCTTTTCTGATTCATATTACCTAGCATAATTTTGTATATACATTTTTTTCCTATATATTTGTCTGTTGTGTATGTTATTTATGTAGTTGTGTGTGTGTGTGTGTATATATAT